ACTTCCTGAAGACAGACAGGCTCTGGAGCTCCACTTGTTCCTCACACACGGCTGCACTTTCTAGGAATGACCGCACACACAGAGGCTGGCCAGCTGCCAAGGCGGGGGCAGCAGCTGCCTCAGGCCTGAACTTTCCCAGGGCTGTCAGGGCGGTTCCTGCTATGAGCTGACTCAGCGGCCAGCATGGAACAGTGCCAACCACAAGCAGTGCAGGGGCTGCCGGCAATTCACAGATGTTTTACTAAACCAAAGAAATCAGCCAGGAGGCAGATCTGGGCTGGTGGCCAGGTGCTGCTCTCGTGGAAGCCGAATTCTGATTCTAGTCTTAGCTCTCCCTTGGGTGATCTGTGTCTCCCATGACCTCCTCTGCTTCAGAGGGATGCCCATCAGGGTGTGGAAGAGGAAGGCATAACTGTCCAAGAAACAAGTAACACTCCCTATGGTTGATTCTGACATGCCATCATGTTTGGAACTAATTTCAACTTTCTTTTAATAAAAAGGGTTTTCTGAGGTCTCCCTTTCCTCTTTCTTTCCTTTTTGGTTTTTTTCTGTGTAACAGCTCTGGTTGTCTTAGAACTAGTCCTGTACACCTGGCTGGCCTTGAACTCACAGAGATCCATCTGCCTCTTCCTCTCAAGGGATGTGACTAAAGGAGTGCACCACCATGGCCCAGCCCTTCCCTCTTTCCAACCAGATAATGTAAAGATAAAACAGAATTATGCTTATAAGGCTCTCTGTTGAGAAATATACATAAGTGCTTTTTAGCAGCTATATTCAACTTCAAAACAACAAAAGAACATGATCTTGGGTTTACTTGGAGTTAAGAAACTCTTTGTGGGGGAAAATTATTCTATATTCCTACTAGGCAAACTTATTAGAACTATGAATTTTATCTTTTAAAATTTTTTAGGCAAGGTCTTACTATATAGTCCTGGCTGGCCTGGAACTTAGTATTCAAAGCTAGACTTGAACTCACTGAGATCTGCTTGTCTCTGCCTACCAAGTACTGAGATTACAGGTGTGTACCACCACTCCCAACTCCTTTATTTTTTATTTTATTATTAGAGTTACTATTATTATTATTATTATTATTATTATCTTCTGGTTTTTGAGATAGGGTTTCACAATAGAACTCATGGTGAGCCTCTTATACCACCACCTCCTAAATGCTGGAATTACAAGTGTGAACCAATCACTTTGTTTTTAGATAGTCCTAATGAGACACAGCTGCTAGCTACCTCACTCTAAATAAATAAATGAGAGATTCTTTAACAGAAACGTGGAACAAACAATATTAACTTATACACCCTAATGCTTTAATAAAAAAAGAACCATCACTTAATATTTTGGGGGTCCTAGAGGTTGAATCCAATGCCTTACACTATCATGGAGCTACACCCTCAGTTCAAGCAGACAAATGCTGAGAAAAACTTCAGTCCACACGTAGGTCAGTGATATGGGGTGAGAAGACATAGCCAGCTCTTGCCCATTCAGCACCCTCTGTAGCTGACCTATAGGTAGAACAAATGGCTTCCCATAACACAAAGACTGACCTGCTTAAGCTGCTCATCCAGACTCCAGCTTGGCTGCCCAGCTGTGGGGAGAGAAGCTGGAACCTTGGATGCATCTTTGGTATGGTCTTCTTTAGCTGCTTGTCCTTGTGGTGGAAGTCCAGGTGCTGGAAGCAGGCTGGACATGGGTGCTGCTCTGGGGTCTTGGCGAGTTGCTTTTTGCACGTGGAAATACTTGGATGCAGCTTGGGCCTCTTTTTCAACCATTTCTGCAACATCTTCATCTCCATCTTCGTCTTCCAGACCTCCTTCCTCCTCCTCAGGCTCAGAGTTGATGTTGCTCTGCTCAAACACTTGGGTCACTGGTGTGGCTGGCGTAACTCTAGATAAGGGACCCAGAACAGGGCTACCAGAAGGTCTCCCGGGTGTGACAGAAAGGAGAGTAGGCTGGGTGGCCAGTTTGGGGGCATACAGGAACTGTGCTTCTCTTGTCTGTGGGTTCTGCTTCTCTCTGGCATCCATCTGTAGAGGAGCCTGGTGTGGCTGCTTTTGTTGATGCTGCAGAGGCTCCATTACTGTCTCAGGCTTCACCCACAGACTGGCATGGCTCTCAACCTGGGCACAGCCCAGCAGGCACACTGGGTCTATATTTTAAGTGAGTAACCAAAACCACAAGGGAAGAAGAAGGGGGGAAAAATATGTAAAACAGGTATAAAAGATTTTATTTTCTCCAGTAAAGTTCTGAACTAAATGCTCCTAAACCTGATTTTCAAGATGAGTAAGTTGTAGGGGTTTGGAGGGTGGGGAGGGAAAGTTATAAAGAAGAGAACAGGATCAAAGAGGGGAAATAGGAGGCAAATCTCAGTAGTGGTAGACTTAAGCGATTTTTCTTAAAAAAAAAAAAAAAAAGGAAATCCAGAAGATATTTAAGTCTGCTAACAACTGAGCTCACAACTTTTACTCTCTACATTATCACAGTTATCTACTGCGCTTGCATTGTACAGGGATGTGAGTCATGAAATTTGTAATAATAACTATGAAAATTGCAGTTAACAAGGGCAAAAAATGGCCTGACTGCAAAAGAAAGAATAAGGCTTATATTCTCAGGCCCCTTGGAGAAGGAGATTCCTACTCCAGCTAGACACAGAATTATAGCAGACAGACAGACAGAATGACTTTTCTGATGGAAAAAGCAAGACCAAGCAAACCGCCCTTGCTTTAAAACTTCACAAATTTCCCAGATCAAATTGCCAGTCAGCTTGTTGAGTGGACTGAACCAGGCTAAGTGGACATTATAGCCTCCAAAAGAATCCGGTTTCAACAACATGAAAGAAGGAAACATGCAAGGGAGTCTCAAATTGCAAGCTTCCCTCAAAAACAAACGGGGGTGGGGTGGGGTGGGGGGGAATTCCTCTGGAGATTTTAAAGTTAATTAATTTGAAACAGGTACCAATATTTGTCTAAACAAGTCAATGTTTCTTTTTTTTTTTTTAAATAAACCACAAGTAAATCTCCTCACATCCTCTTTCTTTCTGATTCACTTCAACTATATTTATTCTATGAATACAGTAAGAAAAGGCTTCCAGTCTCAAAGTATTCTGGGGGCAGGTTTATCTGCATTCTTACCCATCGGTCTCCAAACACAAACCCCTTTCACACCCTTCCACCTCTAACCCTTCCCAGGCTCCCACCTTCAACAAACCTCACTTAAATTATATTTTCTCACACGTCTTCCTAAGTGAACGGATTACCATGCCAGAGCAAATTTTAGGGTGAAGAGCGCTGGCAACAGGGTGTGCAATTTTGTTGCCACATGAAAGGGGAAGCTGCACTGTGCAGGTTGGGACTTGATATTTGCATTGTCCCAGTGTTTTAGGACTGAGTTGGAGGACGAAATGAAATCATCATGAAATGAACAAGAAAACGCAATCTTTGCCATCTTCAAAAATTCACGCGGGAGGTAATCCCTAACAAGGAAAACGGCTTTGATTGATAAATTTTTACATGCTTTATAGGGGCACAAATTTTAAAGCTCGGAAAGAAAACCAAACAAACAAACAAAAAAAAAACAAACAAAAAAACAACTAGAGCCATGCTAGACAATTTTCAATTTGTTTCTTAGAAGCACTTGGTTGTAGCTTCAGAAGCGGTTAAAAGATTCAAATTCTAATTTGCCTCTTACTGCCTGTACTTCCTCTTAGCAGTTTAGAAAGTATAAGTTATGCCTGCAGCAAAACTTTCATTCTGCTTTAGTTCTTATTCCGTAAGGAAGCCTGAAAGGATTTACACCCGGTTGGCACAAGTATTCCTTTAAAATAAAAACCAATTCGGGGACAAAAATACAAAAAAAAAAAAAAAAAACACCAAAACACACCACAGAAGAGTAACAAGCAACTCACAGGTCATTTGAAAGTATTCATACAATCACTGAAGTCAACCAACACAATCGGAATATTTCAACCAACTCCTGCCAGTCGGTGTACAATGTTTCTTGTCTGGTTGGCACCATCTCCTCTGTAGGCTGCCTTCAGCAGAGGGGGAGGTATCCCGTAGCCTCTTTATTTAGTAAGACAGAGATGACTCGGTTCTACAACTCAATTGGCCATTCTCCCTCACAGAGCCCATCTCATCCCAATCCCTAAGCAGCCAATGATACAAACAATACTACCAACATTTAGAGAACTTAACGCTTCAGAAATCTAAACCACTTCATCTCTTCATCCCTCTCTCTATCCTCTAAACTTCCCGGACCTCCAAACCCGGCGCAACGGACTGCCTGCCGCTTAAGCCCGGCCTTGCTGACCCTTACCTTCGTCTCCAGCCGCTCTGTCCCCGAGCCCCTCGAGCCCCTCTTACCATTCTTTACCCCCCTCCCAATGGAGCCCCATCACTTTTACTCGCACCAAGCCCTCTCTGCCAATCTCCAGACTCCTTTCCAAGCACACCAACCCTACCTAATCTAGCCTTGAGGTCCCCCGGGGGTCCCTTACCTTTCCCATCCCTTTATCTCAAAACACTCCTCTGGGCACCGGGAGGATCGGGCTCCTCCCGGCGCTCTCACTTTTTCTCAGCGGTTCCCCGGTTCGCTGGCCCGCGTCTCCCCTACACACCTGCCTCGGCTCCCATTTCGGTCCCCTCCACCTGCCACGGCCCCGCTCCCGTTGCGGCTGAAAGAACCCAGACCGGCGCCGCTCACCTATGCGCAGCGTTCCTGGCTCGCGGGTAGTGAGGAGGCAGCCGCTCAAGCCCCGGCGCAGCAGCTGAGCCTCGGACTCCTCCGCAGCTGGGGGCCACAGCCGGGGCGGGGCCCACACCGGAAGCGGTGCCGCGGGGGCCGGACCGTCGGCCCGGGGCGGGGGAGGGGCAGGCAGGGGCGGGGTTTCATGGATGGGGCGGGGCCTGAGGCCGGAAGCTGCTAAAAAGGGAAGGAGGTGGGGGGGAGTTGGGGGACGAGGCGGAAGTGACTCCTAGGGACCGCCCTCGGGTTGGAACCGTAGACGGAAGCTATTTAAGGCGGGCGGAAGCTTCAGCCAATGAGAAAGCTCAGACACAGAGGAGTTCCGGTGGGAGTGCTTTCGCGGGGAGTTGAAAAAAAGCAGAGCTAACCGCATCTGCTATTTTCTGGTTGCGGAGGTTGGACGTAAGTTAAAGAGAGGAGTTAAAAGTGCTATCTTTCGACCAGTCTTCATCAAACCCTCTTTTTATCAGGTTTTCTCTAAACTTATTAGACTGAGATTTTACTGCCCCCCAGGGGCTACTGCAACACCTGGAGCACTACCTCCATCTCCAACCCCACCCTGATTACAGGAGTTAATATTTTCTTTCCCCAGGTTCTCAAAGGTAGGGACTATGTGCCGAATCCTGGCACCGCTTATAAAACAAAAAACAAAACAACAACAAACACTTCGCTTCTGCGATGCTTGGTTGTGGTGAACATCTGTCAGTTTATGCATGCATCTCTGTGTTTTAACTTCTAACCCCTCTAACCATCTTCCTTGATCCAGAGTCTAATAAGGCCTATTTAACGTTGAGCCTTCTACTAGTTTTCCAATCCCAGCCCAAAACCTGGGACTTTAGCAGGTTTTTCCTTCCTTCCTCCCTTCTTCCTTTCTTTTCTTTCTTTCTCTTTCCAATCCCAGCCAAAAATCTGGCATTTTAGCATGTTTTATTTTTTATATTTTTTGAGACAAGGCCTCTCACTAAATCTGTAGCTCACCTATTTAGCAAAAGTAGTTAGCCAGCAATCTCCAGGAATCCCTTTGTTTCTGCCTCCCCAGCTCTAGGATTACAGGCATGCACCACACTCGACTTTTTACTTAGGTGTTGGGTATCCAAATTTAAGCCCTTATTCTATGGTACCAAATACTTTACTGACTAATCCATCTCCTCAGTCCCTGATGCAGACTTTTTTTAATTTTTAAAAATGACATTGTTTTTAGTGTGTATCAGGGCACTGAGCCATTTCCTCCTGCCTTGCTCAAGAATTGTAACATAACTCTTCTTTGACTTTACCATTGCTCAAGAATTGTAACATGCCTCTTTGACATTATCAGGAACTCTGATCTGCTGAAAGCCTCTACTTTATCTCTTCTACATTAACTCCACTTCCTTCCTTATCCTGGATTCAATGGCATATCATTACAATCCCAGCCTTTCAGGCCCCCCAACATTCCCTTTTCTCAACTAAGATCTCTACCCAGAAGAGACTTTAGAGTTTTCATAACTGTGTCTTGCCATGGAAAATGATCTGCTGGAACAGATTGAAACCACTAAAATATCCATTTAAGATGAATTATAAGCAGTGGCTTTAAAGTTTATTATTCCACTCAGCTGATCCTCACTCTCACTGTGATTCCGGATTACCTTACCATGTAAGTAACAGAAAATGTAGAACACCCTAAAATCTAGAACTCTACTTGCATGTGTTCCCAGTCTGTCTTTCCCTTTATAAATTACACAGTGGAAGATACCAAATTCCTTGTGCATGCCTGGCCAGGTCCTCACCTCAGTATTTGTTGAGCAATAGACAAAACTCGTTTCCTGCCTTCAGTGATCTTCACAGGTTCTGGAGAAAGAAAGCAAAATATGTGGTATCAGATAAGTGCTATGCAGAGCGAAGCAGGGTAAAGATTAAACAATTATGTCAGGCAACTTCTATTTTTAGATGCTGGAAAAGAACTCATTGATAAGGTTCCCTTAAACCAAAATGGACTGACTTGATAGGGGTGAGCCACGTGTAGTGGATATCTACAGAAAGAATGCTCAAACAAAAGAGATGATATTTGAATGTTCTGAGGGTAAGAACGTGTTTGGCAGGTTAATAGGAAGAGCAATACTAACAGTAACAAGGAAACCATAGCTAACCATCTTTCATGGCTGAGTGAGAGGCAACGTAGAGATTGCATAAGGAAGTAGCCAGGTGATCAACCATGCAGTCCATTGTAGACATAAAAGTAATTTTGCCAGTCACTACTAACACCAATGGGAGGTTTTGAGCCAAAACAGATTAAAATCTGTTAATGAGCCATTCTAGTTGTGGCACAGAGGCTGACTGTGGATCATGAGGCTAGAGAGCTAAAAAGGGAATCAATAGCCCGGCGGTGATGGTGCACACCTTTAATCCCAGCACCCAGGAGACACAGGCAGGAGGATCTCTGTGAGTTCGAGACCAGTCTGGTCTACAGAGTGAATTCCAGGACAGGCTCCAAAGCTACAGAGAAACCCTGTTCCCCCTCCACCCCCAAAAGGGAAGCAGTAATCCTGGAAGAAGATGGTGTCCTGAAGTAGACGATGTCACTACAGCAGGTGAGAAGTGGTCAGATTTCAGGTCTATTTTGAAAGTGAAGCTGCCAGGATTTGACGGTATTCTGGTTGTATAGGTTAGAGGAGAGTTAAGAAAGATATCAGGTTTGGAACCCAGCTAATTAACTGGTAGGATAGCGTGCCATGTACCTGGGAGATGTTATCAGATACATGATTAGCAAGAAAGAGGGATGCAGAATTGATATACACAATAACTTGGCATTAGATATTATAACAGTAAAGACATTTTGTTGAGTGAACAAGTCAGTCACAAAACTACACTCTTGAAACTAGAAAAATATGGAGGGGTGATTATAAAGGGGTAGCAAAAAGGAAAACCTTTCCAGATATACTCAAGTTGACAACCAAGAATAGCCATCACAGGGTTTTTAATTTTAGTTTGGGGGTGGGCACATAGGCATGGAGAACCTTGGGTGTCTTATTTTACCCGTCTGTACTTTATTCCCTTGAGACAGTATCTTTCACTGAATCTGGAACTAAACTGGTGACTAGCAAGCTCTAGAAATCCTCCTGTCTCTGCCTTCCATAGCACTGAGGTTTTATGGATTTGACTAAGGTCCTCATGCTTGCACAGCAAGTGCTTTTACCTACTGGGCCAGCTCCCCAGTCTGAAGTTGTGGTTTTTGTTTGTTTTGTTTTGTTTTTAAAGACAGGGTTTCTCTGTGTAGCCCTCCCTGGCTGTCCTGGAACTCACTTCATAGACCAAGCTGGCCTCCAACTCAGAGATCCTTCTGCCTCTGCCTCTCAAGTGCTGGGTTTAAATGTGTACCACCACTGCCTGGTCTTTTTTTTTTCCCTTGAAAGCAAAAAATTTTATATAGTCTTAAGTTCCCCTTCTTAGTTCTCAGAAATCTCCATTTAGCCTCTTGTAATATTAGATCTTTCAGTATTCAAACAAATCCAAGTCCTACCCCCTTTGATATAATTTAAAAAAGAAATGGTGTGAAGGAGTCACACCGTGCAACATGGCTCACATGGGAGGTTAATTGGAGAGAAGGAGCAGGGGGCCTGGGGGGACAGAGACCAGTCCCTAGGGACAAGAAAAAGAAACTTTTCCTGTAATCCAACATTCTGTGACTAAAGTGTATACTTCACTATTCTTCCTGTCAAAACTTAGAAGTATTACTCTTCTCTTTGCAACCCCAAATTGATCTTTTTCCTTCTAAAACATTTCGTGACTTCCCATTGCTCTTGAGATCAAGGCCTAGATTTCTTCATGTAGCCTGGAGGACCCTAGGGAGATCTAGCTTCTTGCCAATCTCTTTGGTTTTAGCTCCTCTTCAGGTTATAGTATTGGGACCAGGAAAGCAACCCCAATGATGTCAGTAGCTGAGATAGACTACCTTTTTCCCTAGTCTAGAAATTGGGGTATTAGCAAATGTGATATAAGAGATGCTCAAATCATGGTAACAGGGGCTACCCTCTCTTGTTACTGGGCATTCTCTGACTGTCACATAGATACCTCCCAATGACCTGATGGCCAACAGATGTAAAGACATCACTCCATCTGATATTAATCAGTTGCTCTGCATTCAACTATAAGCCCTTAGAACAAATATCCTTCAGACCACTAGATATGTGAACCATTACATCCTAGACCCTCCAGGCCTGAGTGAGCTGAGAACCAGAATTCCCCACCAAACTCCCTGACTAATGAAAAATAAAAACCATTTCTTGTCCTATGGTTAAACCAGAAAGTTTTGAAATGGTTTATTTTGTAGCAAAAGGAAAGATAAAGGAAGTGTTTCCTTGCATTGGTCAGGATGGATTCTTGGAGCTACTGAGTACTGGAGGAACAGAGCAGCAGACATCTCTTCACTCTCCTACATTTGGCCTCGTTTCATTAAGTTCCTCCTGTAAGTTTTATCCCCCCCACTTCTTTACCACTCTGAAGGCAGTGGAACTTAGAATAATGAAACTTAAAAATGCAGTAACTTTATTCAGAGCATCCCACAACTTATACCCTGAGGGTTAATAAATTCTGCAGAGTATATAATCACCAGGACAGGCTGCATGTGGCAAAAACCACGTTTTCCCATAGAGGCCTAGAAACTAGTAGCTATAGCCAGCTGTAATGAATAATCTGAAGTAACTCACTTTTATCCAAAACACCTGAGAGGGGCATGAAAGCGTATTCTAAGAACAATTCTGTGTTGGAAAAAACTGAGGTCGCAGGATTTTTGTCTTGTTTTCTTGGCGTTTTCTCGTGAGCACTCAGAGTTCCCCTCACATGACTCCATTCTTGGACTGTGTTCTGACACCCTTTCATCAAATTTCTTACATTTTTGTCTATTTGCAACAAGAAATTGCATAAGGGATAAATATGAAGGATAATCTTACACATCATGTCTCTGACATGTCACTTGAAAAATTCTCCTTGGTTTTATTACAGTTGTACCCTTCATCTATGGCTTTCATATTTGTGTTTTTAGTTGTTAGTGATAAGTCTGGACCCAAAATTATAAAGGATAAAATTTAGAAATAAGCAGTGTAAGAGTTTTACATTGTTCTTTTGATTGGCATGATAAAACATTGCAGGATCTTGCCCCTTCCCATCCAAGATATGAATCATCCTTTTTATCAAGAGTATCCATGCTGCATATGCTTCTTAGTAGCCACCCCAGCTGTTATATCTACTGTTGTAGTGTCAGTGCTTGTGTTCAACTAACCATTGTTTCATTTAGAAATGGCTCCAAAACACAAGAATAGTGATGATGGTGGTGGGGATATGTCAATGAGCATAAAGTACTTTCTTTAATAGAAAGACAAAAGTACGCCGGGCAGTGGTGGCACTTGCCTTTAATCCCAGCACTAGGAGGCAGAGGCAGGCGGATCTCTGTGAGTTTGAAGCCAGCCTGGTCTACAGAGCGAGTTCCAGGACAGCCGCCAAAGTCACAGAAAAACTCTGGAAAAACAAACAAACAGAAAAGACAAAAGTACAATACGAGTGGGTGTCAATTTGGGAACCCAGAGGACATATACAATGTGTTGTCTTTGAATTCATAGTTATTGCATCTTCAGCTTGAATTGGTCCTCAAGGGATAATTCTGGGATTAATTGCCTTGGCAAGACTGGAAAAGACTGTTGTGAAGTTGCTGTACATTTCACCATCATGAAAAATTAAAATATAAGTAAAGGATGAATGTTTCTTTTGGTTATGAGATCAAGGATGCCTTTAGGAGCCTCTGCTGGCATGTATACCTCTGCTGAGTAACTAGAATTAAGAGTACCCTGTGTAGAGAAAGAATGTGACAGAAGGGGTTCCTGGGGGTGGGACATCAAGTTAACACATTCATTAGGGGCTCTGTGTGTGGGGTGGAGTCTCAATAATGTCATCTGCAGCTTGATTTGGCTTTCAAAATGTCATTCTATTGGGAGGGGATGCCCTATCAGGCTGCTCCTTGGAGTCTCCTCTTCCATAGAACTCTTTGGATTTTAAATTAGACATTTGGTGCCTGGTGACCTGACTGTGTGACAAAGCAGCCTGTACTAGCCACTCAGTCTGGGGAAAATATTAGTGTCTGCTCATTGAGATCTAAAACTAACCTTTGAAAGCTCTTTCCAGGTGACAACTTCTGTCAGGTGTAGGGGCTTATGCCTGTAATCCCAGGCTAAGGCAAAGGGATTGCTGTGAGTTTGAGGCTAGCATGTGTTACATTGTAAGTGCCAGGCCAGCTTCATTGGGCTACAGAATGAGACCCTGTTTCAAAAGTGTGTGTGTGTGTGTGTGTGTGTGTGTGTGTGTGTGTGTGTGCGTGTGTTAGTAGTGGTGCTGTTGCCATCGATAAACCCTGGGCATGAGCAGACTTTGGGGTTTTTTTGTTTGTTTGTTTGTTTTGTTTTGTCTTTGTTTTTTGTTTTTGTTTTTTTTGGTGGTTTTTTTTTTTTTTTTGGTTTTTCGAGACAGGGTTTCTCTGTGGCTTTGGAGCCTGTCCTGGAACTCGCTTGGTAGTCCAGGCTGGTCTCGGACTCACAGAGATCCGCCTGCCTCTGCCTCCCGAGTGCTGGGATTAAAGGCGTGCGCCACCAACGCCCGGCTGTTTTGTCTTTGTAAACACCTTTCCTACCAAAGTCCTTTTCAAGCTTTGATCTGAGGTTTGTCAACATTCTGAAGATGTAATTTGACCTTATTCTCTTTCTCATCTAGGAATAGAAGTCAGACCTGTATGACAAGCACAAGGCAAATCCTAAAATGAATCAATCTTCTTTTAAAATACTGTAGTGTCTGGGGAGATGGCTCAACTTGGCAGATGGTCATCTGCCAAACATGATGACCTGAGTTTGATCTCTGGAACCCATACTATAGAAGGAGAGAGCCAGCTCCTGCAAGTTGTCCTCTGAATTCCACACATGAGAAGTGTTACTTCACTCCCAAATAAGTAAACAAAATGTAATAAAACATTTACAGCAGCAATGTTGTGTTTCACTCTCCTTGATACTTAACCTAAAGCTGTCTTTGCAACCTTCATCTAGATTTCCATGTTGGCTAGAGTACAGTAATTCTACAGACTATCAGAGCAAAAGAGAGCCAGGACGAAATTCAAGCTTCTGCCCTAGAACAAAATAGCTGGCCACAGGACTTTGCTCCCAAACCAGCAGAGCCCCGATAAGACAGCTACCACTGAAGTGTTGTGAGACTAAGGAGAAAATGTACTCAAATTGGCAGTGAGACTGGCTAGCTTGAAGTATTGGAGAGTTAACCAATTGGTATAAATGTATCCACAGACCTACATGGGCTTGGACTTACCATTTACCATAAATTTTTATTTTCAGAGCTAGAGAGATGGCTCAGAGGTTAAGAGAACTTGCTCTTCCAGAGGACTGGACACTCAGTTCCCAGTGTGTCATGGTGCCTCACAACTGTCTCTAACTCCAGCTCCAGGAATCGGAGGCTAGAGCTGTGGTTATCTGCACACATGTGCACATACCTATATGCATGCAGACACACACCCCTACATATAATTAATAAAAACACATGTTTAAAACAAAGAACTCTTTATTTTCAAGAATCAACACTGAATAGGGTGTGGATCTGTGTGTGTGTGTGTGTGTGTGTTTGTGTGTACCACTAAGCTATATCTTCAGCCCTCTTTTTTTTTTGCATTTTTTTGTTGGTTTATTTTTATTTTTATTTTGAGACAGGGTCCATTATGTTTCCCATGTTTGCCATGAACTCACTCTGTAGCCCAAGCAGGTTCCTTGAAATTGTGATCTTCTTACCTCACTGTGACTATAGGCCTGATATACATTTTCTGTTGTTAAGGTTTGCTAGAATTCCTTATTTCTGAAGAAAAAAAAAGCCAAACCCCCAACAAAAACATTTTAAAAAAGCAAAGAACTACCTGTCAATTTCAACAAAGGATATTAGGCAGGTGTTTATTTTTTATAATGTGTTTTGTTGTTGTATTCCAATACAAGGTTTCTCTGTGTAACAGCCCTGGCTGTCCTGGAACTCTCTCTGTAGACCAGGCTGGCCTTGAACTCTGAGATCTACCTGCCTCTGCCTCCCTAATGCTGACATTAAAGGTGTGAGCCACCACCGCCTGGCTTTATAGTGTGCTTTAAATTTTATTTTTATTTTTATATGTATGGATGTTTTGCCTGCATGTATGTGTCTCAGATCTTCTGGAGCTGCAGTTACAGACAGTTGTGAGCTGCCATGTGAGTGGGTGTCCTTTAAAGAACAGCCAGAGTTCTTAACTGCTGACCCCATCTCTTCAGCCCATAATGTGGTTTTTTGAGACAGAATCTCACTAGATAGCCCAGGTAAATCTCAAAATCACAATTCTCCTGAGGTAGATGTTTTAGAACCCTGCTATTAGAGAGTTCAGGACACTATGGAGAAAGTTCAGTGGAAATGTCCCTTCCGGAGTACAGGATGGGAGTGCTTGCTTTTGTTTGGTGTGCATTTGGGGACTAGTTTATTGTCTTCATTGTTATACACAACACATATGTACCTGTTGCAAAATTAGTGCTATTTTATTCCTAGACTTTTGCTAATGTAAGCTCTGTATAATGAGAGATACTGAATTTTTTGTTGTTGTTTAGTTTTGTTTTTTGAGACAGAGTTTCTCTGTGTAACAGCTCTGGCTGTCCTGGAATTGGATCTGTAGACCAGGAGAGCTACTGGAATTTTGTTAAGATGAAATTTATTCAATTAAGAAGTTGCCTGTCTTCCAGGCCTTTGCTCATTGGTCTGTAGAAAGAGGACATGTTGAATAAAGTTCACTCGAGTCAACAACATATTTTTAATCAAATTCCAGGGAACAATGGGTAAATTCATCTGGAACTCTGATTCAGTAACCCTACCTTTATAAACTGAACTGGGACTTCAGTTTCTCTAGTTGAAGTGAAAGTTCCATTACATATTTTTTTTTAGTTTTACACACCTTAATCATATTCACCCCGAAGTTTGATTTTTTATAAACTTATAACTATACTGAGATCTTGTTCGAAAGAGAATAGAGTGATTACAAAGATAACTTCTAAAACCACTCTGATTAACTCTTTCTTATATCTCTTCCCTTCACACACACCATGAAAAGGGGGGAATTGTTTGGTTTAACAGTGCAATCATCTACCCACCAGCCATTTCCTAATAAGGGCAGTACAGCCAGCCAGTTTCACTTCTGAAGTCCAAGTGCTAGAAGAATGGCATTTCCATTTGCGCTACTACAACTTCCTCCCTTCAGCCACTGCAAATTGAGGGTGTGGATTGTCTTAACACAAATAAGCTGCCACCAACAACTCAACTGACTTTCCTGTCCCTCCACTGTAGGATCTGCCTTGGAGAATTATAGTTCCGATGCTTTAATTACAAAATTCAAATAAATATTCACAAAGTTTAGAGACTTTATTAACAATAGATGGCAAACCAAGCATGATGGTGCTTGATGACTGTCTAAGCACTTGGAAAGTAAAAGCAGGAGGTTAATGCGTTGAAGGCCAAACTCACTAAATATGTACAAGACCAACCAGGGTCACAAGAGATTCTGTTGAAAAAAAAAAAAGCCAAGATGGGGTTGACAAAATGGCTAAGCAGGTAAAAACACTTATCGCCAAGCCCAAAGACCTGAGTTCTGAGATTAATCCCTGGTGCTTACATGGTGGACAGAAATAACCAACTCCTGCAAGGTATCCTCTGACTTCCACACATGTAAGTTTACACACACACACACACACACACACACACACGCACGCACGCACGCACGCACGCACGCACGCACGCACGCACGCACACCCGCGCGGTATAAATATTAGGAGCTGGAGAGATGGCTCATTGGTTAAGAGCACTTGCTATGGAATTATGAGGACCAGAATTTGTATTGTATCCCAGAATTCTGCAAATGCCTGTAACGAAAGTCAGTACACTACACATGTATTGACATGGGAAATTATCAGTGATTCAATCTGAAAAGAAACAAGTGGGCCATCAATTCTGAGAACACAAGTTTGATCCCTGGGGCCACATGGTGGTAGGAAAATTGGTTCCTTAAGTTGTCCTCTGAGCTCCACACGTATCAAAGCATGCACACATACACACAAAAGCAATTAGAATTTTTAATTTAAAAAAAGAAACTAGCTAGATAGAAGTATGTACAATCATTTTGGAAAGGAAAAATATTTCACGCTGATTCAGCCTTTAGAAAAACAGTTTTCAGCTGGGTGGTGGTGGCACACGCCTTTAGTCCCAGCAGAGGTAGAGGCAAAGGCAGGCAGATCTCTATGTGTTCAAGGCCAGCCTGGTCTACAGAGTGAGTTCCAGGACAGCCAGGGCTACACAGAGAAACCCTGACTTGAAAAACAAAAACAAAAAGCTTCTTAACAATAAAGGCTGTTATGACACATGTCCTGTTTCTAAACTAACGGTAAAATATTGCTTGGTAATTCGAGAAAATTATATATGTAGGAAAAACCTCCAGTACACATTTTCTAACTGAAAATTATCATGAGCTGACCACTTAGTTCTCAAAACAATCTTCACTTCTCAAGAAAGCTAATGTTTGAGAGAATTTAGTGAGTTGCTTGAAGTTCCAAGGAAAGTTCCATGTTCTAGGTGGTAAGCTGTGATTTGTGCCAAGAGATGTTTCACTGTGATTCATGCTGTGTGAGGACATGGTTCTTTTTTTTCTTTATTTTTACATTTTATGTGTTTTGTCTATATGGATGTGTACCACGAGCATGAGCATCTGTATGGGTATAGGGAATGGAACTCAGGTCCTCTGGAGAGCAGCCAGGGTTTTTAACCACTGAGCCATCTTTCCAGCCCCTGGCAAACTTTATTATCTTCTTAAAGGTTTATTTACTCATGTATTTTAAGTGTTTAGGTGCTTTGTCTTCATATACACCAGAAAAAGCAATTTTATCCCATTACAGATGATTGTGAGCCACCATGTGGTTGCTAGGAATTGAACTCAGGACCTTTGGAAGAGCAGTTAAATCCTCTTAACCACTCAGCCACTTCTCCAGCCCTGAGGGCACTGTTCTATAGTCTTCCTACCAGTGTAAATATTTGCCTTGGAATCACTTAAATATCTTCTCCAATATATACTTTACAATAGTAGGCAATAGGTAATAATAGGGGCACATATTTGCTTTATAATTTGTCAAAAAACTAAAAGAAATTATAAGCTGACCAGGCTTTGCATTTGCAGAATTCCAGTGGAAAGACCTTAAACACAGGAGAATAGCGAGAAATTAGTAACAACCTAAATGTTTATCCATAGGAAACTGGTAAATGATGTTTGATTCCTAAGCTATGCAGAAAACAAAGATAGGGACCAGGGGTATAGCTCAGTGGGTATATGCTTAGTATAAGTGAGGCCCTAGGTTCATTCTCCAGCACCAAAAGCAAGTACATTGATAAAGCAAATGTAGCCCAACTGGTAGACTATTACCTACGATGCACAGGCCCTGGGTTTGATTCTCTATAACACTTTATAAAAATGCTAGGTGTGTGCCACCATTCCTAGGACACACATAGAATTCCAGTACTTGGGAGGCAGAGGCAGGTGGATCATTGTGAGTTTGAAGGCACCCTAGCTTACATAACAAATTCCAGGCCAGCCAGAGACACATAATAAAAAAAGAAGTGAAACACTCCATCTAAAAACAAAACAAAAACTCTGGTGTGGTGGTGCATACCTGTAACCCAAATACTGGGGAGGAGTAGGGACAGGAAGATCAGAAGTTACTGGTCATCACTGACTACATAAGTGAGTTCAAGGCCACCCTAGTCCACCTTGAGACTCTATCTTACAAAACAACAACTAAAGGGAAAGAAGAAATGAAAAGAAAATCCTCTAAGGTTCACTACAGGGTGTTTAGTATTAAAAATTAATTGTAAGCATATATATATAATTATGGGTATGTGAATATATGTGTATATACATATAATTATTGTTGTAATTTAAGAAAAGCAGCGCGAGAAAGACACCATGCGACAGGGTTCCAGCAGAGGATTTTTTTTTTTTTTTGGTTTTTTCGAGACAGGGTTTCTCTGTAGCTTTGGAGGCTGTCCTGGAACTCGCTTGGTAGTCCAGGCTGGTCTCGAACTTACAGAGATCCGCCTGCCTCTGCCTCCCGAGTGCTGGGATTAAAGGCGTGCGCCACCAATGCCTGGCAAGGATTTTTTTTTAATTAGGGAAAGGGATCATAAAAAAGAGGAAAGGGAGGGAGGGGAGACCAGCATCTGGAGACAGGAGCAGTAGTAGAGAGGAGAAAGGGAAAGGGGGGATGGGAGAGGGGGAAGGGAACAGACAGGGAAAGAGAGAGAAGAATGGGAGGTGGGCAGGGCTCTTTTAAAAGGGAACGTAGTGAATATGCACAGATGGTAGCTCTTAGTGGCTGCAGATGAGGGCATATCCTGTCATAACCCCAAGGGCAGGCCAGTACAGATGCCTGAGTACTAACAGTTATGTTGAGGAAGTATGATTCAGGGTATGTACCAGTTAACGTTTTCTAAACTGCAACAAATATCTTCAAAACATGACTCAACAAGATAATTTCTTTTTAAAACTATTTTTATTTCATTATGAGTGTATGTCTTTCTGCCCACATATGTGTTCAGGAACCCTCAGAGAAGGCCATAAGAAGGTATCAGAACTCTTGGAACTATAGTTAAAGCAGGGTGTGAGCAGCCTGATGTGTGTAGTGAGAGATCTACCAGACGCACCTGTGGTGCTGACCACGCCCCCTTTGGGCGTGGTCAAGGTGCTTCTGTGAGCGTGTGGGGTTTGTTCGGTCTGGGGTATTGGACTGCTTGCTCTCTCCTGTCAGGTCTTAGAGAGCAGCTGGAATCTGAACTTTGACTCTCGCGATTGAGCAACAAGTGCTCTTAAGTGCTGAGCAATCTCTCCAGCCTCAAGATACTTAATTGTTTGTTCAGGAGGTCTTCTTGGGTAGGGATCTAGGCTCCCATCCACTGTTTGCATTTGAAACCTGCATTAGGCAGGGTTCTCTAGAGAAACAGAACCAATAGAATGTACATGCTACGATAGGGAGTTTATTAGATTAGTTTACATGATAGAGGCTGGGTAGTCCAACAGTGACCATCTGTTTGCTGGAGAGCCCGGGAGCATCAGTCTATGAAGCTGGGTGCTACAAGAGTCTCTGAAGACTCGGAAGCTTCCCAGAGAATCACTGTTATTCAGTCCATGTTGAGAGGCCAAAGAAGGAAGAATTGGATGCCAGCAGAGGATGGCAGCAGAAGGAGGGATGGTCACACTTGCTTATCAAGAAAAGAAGGCAGGCCGGGCGGTGGTGGCGCACGCCTTTAATCCCAGCACTCGGGAGGCAGAGGCAGGCGGATCTCTGTGAGTTCGAGGCCAGGCTAGACCGACAGCCTCCAAAACAATCGGAGAAATCCTGTCTTGTAAAAAAAGAAAAGAAGGCAGGCAGGGGACCTCGTTCTATCTGGATCGCCCATTGGAAGACACTGCCGACTCTGAATGAGGTTCTTCACCTTTCAGTTAATCCTTCCCAAATACCCTAACAGACATGCCCAGAAGTGTGTCTCTTAGTTGATGTGGGGGTGGTGGAGGGCTGAAAGACATTTGTAGAAATACATGAAAGCTGAAAAGAGACTTGGGGAGAGGAGGGATACAAGGAAGAGTCAGGGGGAGCAGCAGAAGGGTAAGGGAGATGAAACTGCATTAATATCCAATGTCCTGTATGCTAATTAAAAAATCACCATTGAAGTTCCAGGTTCCACTCCATTCATCTCAAGATCAACCATACCTTTGTCAGAATGGAGAAGACTCAGCTACATTGAGACCCCAAAGGGAAAGGTAACTATGTGCCTAAAGAGAGCAGTGGCTTTGTTAGAGAACAAGGGGTCTCTGCTGCAGTCAGCCTATCCACCAAATAGATTTGCCCTTATATAAGGGAGATGCAGAAAATACCATTCACTTATGTCACTCATATCAAAATCTGGAAAGCAGAGCCAGGAAGCAGCTTAGTGGTAAAGTGCTTGCCTTGCATGTGTGAGCGCCTGAGTTCAATCCCACTCACTGCCCCCAAAGCTGTTTTTCCCTAATTGATCTGAATGAATTTCCTTATGAACTAAGGGCCAGGTTGAAGCCATTTTCTCATCACCCTGATAAACCCACACAACCCAATGTGCAGTGACGGAGCAATGCCAAGAAATTGTCAATAAAACCCCTATCTAGAAAAGGGGTGAACAAGAAACCACAGCCACAGCATCTCAAGCATTTGTGAAATACTAGTAGACACGTGTTACCAAGACACTTTTCTGACTATGGAGGAAGTTCCTCGATTAGATTTTGTTCTTTTAGGAAAATTCTCTTGTCATTGTTCTTATCTTTGGTTTTGCCCTCTGGCAGGCTCTTCCTAATCATCAACTTTCCTGCCCTTCTCAAGGAGCACATGGCTGTGACAGCATACTTCCTGGTGGTGGAATTTGTATGGCCAGGTGCTGTTTTATGGATTTACTTGTGTATTCAGATGGGGGTAGAGTTATTTCTATCTAATTCACTCAGAAACTTTTTGTTCCCATTTGTTCCAAAATTGTTCCTTGTGTTAGAGATGATGTCTAAAGTTGTTGTTTTAAAGATACAAATAGCAGCATCTATTTATCTCTCTATGCCATTCCTCTCTCTTATAGTCCTGACAATTACTGGGAGGTGGTATGGAACATCAGGCTTAGCTACTTTTCAACTGTCTTTTAGTTGTTCTTTGCAATACTGCTGACTTCCTCGGATTAGTTGCTGTATCTTGGCACACTTTTGCCTTTCAAAACCTTCTCAGTTTGCTGTTGGGGTTCTGTAGCTGCTCCATCCCTACAAAGACCCATCTTTGGACTCAATTAATTCTGATTCATTTCACTTCAGAATGAGGAAATTCTTGCCTGAATCTGTCTCAAGTCTCTTGTTAAACATATCACAGAACAGTAATCAGTACAACTCACGTGGTGACTCATGAGCCACAACTTTGGAGCACCACAGGGAAAACAATGTTGTGTTGCTATTGTTAAATACTAAATTAGTGAGTTTCCTTTAAATTCTTTTTTAAAAAGATTTATTTATTTATTATGAATACAACATCCTGCCTCCATGTATGTCTGCACACCAGAAGAGGGCATCAGATCTCATTACGGATAGTTGTGAGCCACCATGTAGTTGCTGGGAATTGAACTTAGGACCTCTGGAATTGCAGTCAGTGCTCTTAACCTCTGAGCCATGTCTCCAGCCCCTCCTTTAAATTCTTAAAGTTTATGTGCATGTGGTGTGTGTGTGTGTGTGTGTGTGTGTGTGTGTGTGTGTGTGTGTGCCAGCATGAGCACATGGTATGTGTGTAGGCGTTTATTCTAGGGTGGGCATGTGAGGGTCAAAGAACATTTTTGAGGAGTTGGTTCTTTCCTTCCACCTTTACATGGGTCTGGGGATTGAATTCAGACACTTGGACTTTCAAGGCAAGTGCTTTTACCCATTAAGCCACCCACACACCAAATGAGTAAGTTTCTGGATGTCTTAAAGACGATAGTCCCTAGAGGCCCACAATGAAAATAAGAAGAATGCTTTCCACATAATACTTATAAGGTGCTTTGCCTGAAGCCTTTTAAACAGTGACTTCTTTTGAAAACTGAATGAGTCATGCAAACTGAAGGATGAGGCTCAAGAATTCCATCACATATGAATAAGTCAGGTAAGATGCTGTCAGACATCCTCACACACTGGCTGGAGAGCCTTTGCTCCACTTAGATAGGATCTGTGGATAAGCAAAGATGAGCTAGCTCTTCTGGTTCTGGAAATCCCAGGTCCTTGTGTGCCCAGGAGTGGGAGTGTAGATGGACAGAATTAGATAGCGTCTCCCAAGCCTGAGAGCTAGGGGCCTATTGTTCCAGGTTTTTGGAGCTACACCGGTAGTTACAGGCACTCAGGTTGGAACCTCCACAAGCACTGACACTTGGTTCCTGTTGTGATCCTTGGCTTTCAGGAGCAGTGAGTAGCAGCAGCAGTCTGCACCTAGCACGCACAGGTGATAGCTGTCGTGACAGTTCTTGAGCAGGTGTCAGATGCTGGGACTTTTGCCCTACAACAGTGGTTCTCAACCTCCTAATGCTTCAACTCTTTAACACAGTTCCTAATGTTGTGGTGACCCCCGACCATAAAATTATTTCATTGCTACTTCATAATTGTAATTTTGCTAGTTATGAATTGTAATGTAAATGTCTGTGTTTTCCAATGATCTTAGGGGACCCGTGTGAAAGGGTCATTGGACCCTCAAAGGGGTTGTGACCCACGGGCTGAGAAATACTGATCTACAGTGAAATGGACTTCAACTTTGGGTGGCTAGCATTATGGGTCTTGGAACTAGAGCGTCAAGACTCAGTCCTAGATAATGACTAGTGTTGCATTTTTCTGTACTAGGGTGTCTCTTTGTCCTTAATGCACAGCAGATACCTAGACCTCCTCCAGTGACCAGACCCTATAGTTTCTCTTCTTTGGTTCTTTATCTACCGTTATGTCTTTCTTCGGTCTTGGCTCTCCAGCTTTTCTTGCCTTCTTTCTGCTTCCACCACCTCTGCCCCTGTTGTTTCAGTGCTATTGTTACTGTTGCTCTGGCTGCCGCCACCACCACCACCCTGCTACTTCTCTGGCCTCCCTGTGCTATCAGCTGGCTTTTTCTAATGAGCAAAATTTGACAAGAAAAGACGTTTCTAATGTTGCAACACCAGAGGGCAGCACAGGAGAGTGTTTCCCAGCTGAAGAACTGAGCCACACAGCCTGCATAGAAAGCTGCAAGTGGAGCGTGGCAAGGGTGTTTGCAACCTTCACAGCCCATACACAAACAAAGAGTGACGTTTGTATCAATCCTGGCACAGTTCTTCAAGCAAGCGAAGGACTGTGTTTGCACCAGCCTCAGATCAGAGGAAGTGCTTCCCTTCTGGGCTGTGTGAAAATGGCTGCAGGGTCACTTAGAATTCACCAAGCCCCCCCTAGCTTGGAGTGCTGCTTTCCAAGACTGTCTGGAGTGGTTCTGAGCAGGGTTCTTCAGTTGTCATTATAACAACCCTCTGCATCTGGTAAAATAACCTCAGAGAAATTGTAAAGTGTCCAGACTCACCAGGCTGCCATTGTGGCAATCTGGCTGGTTGCCAGTAAAGGGGCTGAGTGGCTGACAGCTCCCCATTCAAGGCTGCCAGGCAAAAAGGAATGGCCTGTCAAATGCCTGCTCTTGACAGTTTTAACCATTCACTGAAAGCATTCAAAGGGCGTTTACAGTAAAGACATAACAAAAGCTCAACAATTCTAATAGTTCACAGTAGTTGATGGTATTTAACAATGCTTAAAAGTACTTAACTCCTGCCCCAGTGCTCTAGGGAGAGGCAGTCCCTTTAATCTGTTTCAGTAGCACTAGCAAACTTTAAATGGGGCTTACTATGGTTCTCCATGAGAACTGGGTGTAACTGGTGAAAAACTTCCCTACTCAGAAGATGTGGCCAATTAATGCTCATTTGTGTTAAACAATGTAACACCAGAAACCTTCTAAGGGTGAAGCAGAGATTAGGACCTCATCTTAAGAGACCCTTGCAGCACCTTCTAGGGGACTTCTTGCAATGATTTTTCTGTATGAGTCATGGATATTGTGATGACTATTCTTGGTTATCATCTTGACTACATCTGGAATTCACTAAAAACCCAAGCAGCTGCGTACATGTGTAGGGGATTTTTCTTGACTGGACCACTTAAGGTTGGAGGATCCACCCTAAATGTAGGCCACACCTCATGGCATCCTATAAAAGACAAAGAGGAAGGAAGCTTTGCTTTTGGCCTGCTTGCCCTCATCCTCACTGGCAAGTTTATATATCCTGCGGCTGAGGCATTCCTTCACTGGCATTTCAGCCTACTTCTTCCAGATTCCAACATATACTGGATTCCAAGACTAGAGAGCTTTGTGGACTGAATGACTGTTGGATTCTTGGACTTTATGTTAGGAGACAACCATTATTGGGGTAGCTGGACTATAGCCTGTAAGCTATTCCAATAAACCACTCACTACACACACATACACACACACACACAATCAGGGTTCCTCGAGAGAACCCTGACTAATACAGGCATGCATTAGTAATAGTGTGATAGTATGTTTCTTTTCTCAATAAACTGAAGCAATGGTCAAATAGTCGCAGCCCTCACAGTGGCTAAGGAGCTGCTGGACTTCATTTGCCCACAGTGGTTATTCCAATTTAGATGAACACATTTGTTGTTGGTTTTTTAGCCTTTACTTTTTTTGCTCTTTTCTCTTTTGGCTTTTTGTCTTTGGTCCTTTTTGGGGTCTTTTGGGGACCCTCCACCTAGCTCCCAAATAAATTACACATGGAGGCTTATTCTTAATTATAAATGACAGGCCTTAGCTTGCTTCTAGTCAGCTTTTCTTAACCTAAATTATCCCTATTACCTTTTGCCTCTTGGCTTTTTCCTTTTCTTACTTCTGTCGTATAAGTACCGCGCACTAACCGATTGCTCCACTGGAGCACTCCTTTTCTTCCTTCTGTATATCTTACTTTCACTCTTACTCCATGGCTGACTGTGTGCTGGGTGGCTGCCCCCTGGTGTCCTCCTCCCTTGTTCTATCTCCTCCTTGTTCTTCCTATTTATTCTTTCCACCTGCCAGCCCCGCCTATCCTTATTCCTGCTTCACTATTGGCTGTTCAGCTCTTTATTAGCCCATCAGGTGTTTTAGACAGGCAAAGAATCACAGCTTCACAGACTTAAACAAAAGCAGGATAAACAAAAACAATACATCTTTACATTATCAGACAAAT